AGCAGCAAGATAGCAATGATAGAGGGCTGGAGCAGAGGAAAGAAAGTGTGACACAATTGAGTTGTTAAGGGTTTCGAAGAGTGAAAAGAAGCACCCTGAACGGGATTTTGTCAAGTAACATCCAGGAGGGCGGATCTTGACAGCGCTCCAAGCAGTCTAGTCGACCGCTAGGGAGAGTGTTCGGCTGGGGTTTGAAGGCCCACAACCATTGACGTAACTGGAGAAGGAAGCTACCAAGAGTAGCGGAAGACAAATTGAGATGGCAAGAGAATGCAGAGAAACTGCAAGGAATGAGAGTCGAGCATCTGCAGAGAGGCACAGGACTGCGCAGTGGACTTCCTTCAATTGAACCTGTCATTGAGTGAGCAAACTTGTGCACAATGATCAGGTGACACAAGCAGGAAAATCAGCCAACCAATCAGGTTGACGGTGCAGCGGAGATCCAACTAGAGAAAGACATCCACACCATCACAGATAACAAAGAAACGGAGAATAAGACACGAAGGGACACGGAGCGAGAGGAGAAGGAACGCGCAGAAACCCGCACGTGGAAGTCTGCAAGAGGGGAGACAAAAATAGGACCAGGGGAACGGGAGGCAAGCAGGAGATGAAGGCGGATACAAGCAGCAGTGGAAGGTGGATGAGGAAGCAGACCAGGGCGGAGGGCAGACGAGAGTGGAAGGCAGATTGAGGGTGGAACGACCGCCTAGTCGAAGTCGCGTCCAGCTGCAAGTTCTGCCAAACACAACCAGCCATGTTCGTTGACGGCGAAGGTGCATGCCAAGGGAACGTTGCCAACCTGGATACAAGTATGCCAGGTTCTTAATTCTAGACCTTCCCGCCCTGCAGCTGCTGAAACACAACCAGCCGAATCTGTGGTAGTACAGAATGTATGCAGTAGGATGATGGCGATTGAAAGGCACTCAAACCATGTAGCAGTCCATCTCATTCGATCGGTAAAATATTCAATATCCCCGTGACCTGCGAATGATGAAACACGACCAGGCAAATCTGTGGGAGTACAATTTGCGTGCGACAGAAAGGCAGTCAACCTGTATAATGAAACGGTCCCACCTACAATAGCCGTGACTTGTAGATGCTGAAACGCACAGCCAATCGAATATGAGGGGGCAAGGGATGCATGCGACAAGAAGCCAGTCAGTCTGTATCATGAGACAGTCCAAACTGGTGCTGTTCCCAAATATTCGTGAAGTGTAGACGCTGAAACGAAGCCAGTAGAATACGTGGGAGAACAGAATACGTGCGACATGAAGCCAGTCAGTCTGTATTATGTGAATTCAACCTGGTGCCGTTCCCCGAATCCCCGTGAATTGTAGACGCTGAAACACGGCCGACGGAATACGTGGGAGAACAGGATACGTGCAACATAAAGTCCGTGAAGCCGGTTCCCGTTCCGTGAGTCCCCCAAAACCGCCGAAATCTGCCAGCTGCTGAATGACCAGTAAATGCTGGGAGCACAAAACACGTCCGAGGAAAGGGTGAACCTGGTGATGCTAAACCAGTGGAAGCTTCTAACATCCCCCTCGCCTGCAGTTGCTGAAACCAAGAGCAAACGACAGATGGAAACAGCCTGATAGATCGGAATTGAAACACCCAATCTGCAATCAAATTGCTTCTTACGCTGGCATCTTAAGAATCTTTTGCTTCGATATGCTTCTAAAGCCTGTTTAGATGTTATAGACACGAGACAAAGCACAGAGTTAAGGTGTACAAGAACCGCGATGTTTGTCAGATTTTGCTTGCCTTTAGGACCTGCTTGGCTGTAGCAGACGAAGAGAGCACAAAAAAATATAATATCGTTTTCCACTTCGAAGGATACAACATAATGACACCACGCTGAACCTGTCGTACACAGTACAACCATGAACAGAAATACACAAATCAACAACGTAACACAGCATCGGTCGGAGTGGAAAGACGAATGAACGAAATCGGCGCGAAACCGGCGAACCCAGGTCTTCGTAGACGAATGATGATCCTAACCGCGTTATCTCTTTCCAGCAACTCCTTGCGCCGGAAGGAAGTCGACGAACTGACACACTGACTCTGCTGGTGCACCGGTCTCGCCTTAGCAGTTTCATGCCGTCGAAGTTAGTCATGAGATAACAGCAACATGATCTCCTCCAAACTCGAACGATAACATGTTACCATGCGTGGCGACAAATCCAACTCGTGCTGAAGGCTGGTATGCCGATCTTGTATATGAAAGTTTAACCACTCGAGCAGCCGCTGACGTTCCCAGCCTCGAAGCTCCTTAGTCGTTGACGTCGCGACCTCGCCGGTTGATCCTCAAACTAATTATCAGAATCCGCAGCTTAGCAGCAACAATCGTCAGCGACAACGGTCAATGATGCACCGGCCGAATAGACAGAACCCGAACTGATGACGCGTTATCCAACAACACCGCAGCCGGAATCACCACCATCAGAAGCGATGAATTGCAGAAGTACCTCCAGCAACCTGGAACCCGAAACAACTTCATCGTGGTTCAAGCAGAGACATAACCTTGGCGGAGACGACCCCATCCATGCGAAGGACCAAGAAAGCTTCATCCACACGGTCGAAGAATAGGCGAGCAGGGACGACGAGCAACTAGGCATTCCAAAGGGTCCATCGGAAAAGGAGCGAAACCTGAAGTAGCTAGCTCACAGCAGAGACGCGCCATGGTTGGAAGAAGTTGTCGCTTGAAGTCAACCCACGGGGGTTCACACTGTCAAAACATGTGAAGCGAATGAAACTGAAGTGCTGTGTGGCGAAATATTGTTAGGTTGGAACGAGGGAGTGGAGTGGGGGGGGGCTGGTTTGAGAACTGTAGTCCCAAGGGACCTCCGCGACATTGCTTGGCGACGCCGGCGACAGAACCGAAACCAAACTTTTAGGGCACCTGCGGGCCATTCCCGCCTTATCGCGAATTTGCTTCGCCACCAAACCACCAGCTTCGGTTTCCCTGAAATCACACGGACAGGCGGTGCCCCAGCTGTCCATGCTCTTTCGTGCTGGTTCGCGAAAACGTCGCGAGCCTGAGATCACCTGACCAGTCGCATCGCCGAGACGCGTCCAGCCTTTCAGTGCCACATGCCATCACCAACCTCGAAAGTCTCCACGACAGGGTGTCAGGGTTTCGTAAACAACGGGGAACACCACTGTGAGGCATGCGCAAGAAGCTTGGCAAATGTGGCGAATCGCACTTCAAGCACGTCATACTATGGCATCACATCACATCACATCACATCACGAACCGTGCACAGTCGGTGGTGGTGAGGACTGTAGGTTAGCTGTTACCAGGGTGTACATCGAAGGGTGCGTTGACACAGCCGTTTTCGTCGGCCCACCCTACTGCAATCCGTGAAGGTTGGCATCGCTACAGACTACTTCGGTTAAAATAACAATATTTCTGGTACACTTCTACGGTACAACCCCATTTTGAAATCATTTGCTGCTGTTAAGTTGCGACTTATGGCATTTCCAAAGTGTTACTGGTTTTTGCAACTGGCTACGTCTTGCTAGTGGTTTTGTGCGTTGTATAGATTTTCAAAGCGGTAGAGTCTTTTCGCCTCTAACGAGGGTACCACCACCCAATCGCGATTACCCCGCTACTTGCGGAAAAGGAATGCATTCGTTATACGGCTCGTGCGTCATAATCACGCTGCAGCCAGGCACTCTGCTTCAGTCTCTTACTGCTGCAGAAGGAAACCTTTCGGGTCGCTCGACCGACCATATTCGCCAGAACCCAGCCAGCCCTGTCATTCCTATCGTACACCAGGGTGTTGCGACTCGGTCTTCCTCCTCGGGCGACGGTCTGCGACGAGCCACTCACAGTTCTATCCCCACAGTTCTATCCGTCAGGGCGATTGATGAGTCGAGCCGCACAGCCCAGTCAGTTCCTCTGACCAACCAATCGCGAAGCCAACGCAGTGTGGCGTCCGCTTCCGAAGCATCTGCGCTCCAGAACCCAAGCCCACTGGTGAACCGAAATACATCTGCAGCAGCAGGAAATGCGCTCGTTCTCCCTCTTTTTGCTCGGGAGAATTCTCCCTCACAGCTTACGGGGCAGGCCTTACCTTCGATAACGGGGCCTTGGAATTCAGGTGCTCCCTTTGAAATGATGCAACCAACAAGACAATTTGTGTCTTTGTAGCGCGACACGTACAAGAATCGGGAAAGTCGTCACTTTCCCGTCTTGCGGTGCTTGGCAGCGAAACAAGGGCCTGTGTTTTCGGTGAAAAGATCTAGTTAACGTTTTTGGTCGCTGGACTCCTGAATTTCAGCGAGAGCTCAGGCCTAATTCTTGGCCTTGACGCCTAACAGAGTGCATCACTTCAATCAAACCAGAAGGATCATAGTGGTAGAGCTAGGCAGTAAGGAGAGATCATTCTTGGAATGCGAAGGTTAGGTTAGCTACCTCGGTCTCTCGGAAACAGTGTAGTCTGCTTCCAGCAGTCTTTTCTAGCCTCTCTCCGATTCTAAAAACAATGGCGACGTTGCCGTCGCAGCGCCTCGGCAGATGGGGTTCGTCGCATCGAGTCGAGTCCGACGCGGACATGGGGAGTCTAGACCAGCTCTTAGAATCCCTAAAAAAAGAGCCGAGTAGTTCCCGCCGATATACCGCGTTCGCCATCTCACCTATCGCCACCGCATTCCGCGCGTCGTGGCTTATAATTTCCGTCTTGCTCCTCGCCATAGCAGGCGTGTCGTTATTTATCACGCTCCAGCCGAAAGGATTCACGGTATGGCATTTGACGATAAAATCGCCGTCGTCATCTCAAGGACGCGTGCTTCGCATCCACGTGTCAAGCTCCGGAGGCGATCAGTTCGAGCTTGAAGAATCAACTCCCGAGATGAAATCTGGACCGTTAGTTTCTCCTCGGGTTCCTGCAAGGCGCGTAGAACTCGATGGGGCGAGTGTCGAAGCGGCTGAACGTGACAGTAGTGAGCGGCGAGGGGTGGAGGAAACTGGTGTTACTCAAACGGTGGTGGCTATGAGGGAGGGGATGGGCCGTAGAGGAGGGAATGAAGCAGCCTTGACCGCATCCGATGCCGCTGCTGACGGCGCAGGAACAAGCAGCGATATAATCGCACCCGCTTCGAATGAGGCCTCGATAGAGTCACATCGAAGCGATGATGGCTTTAGGGACTCGCGGTCTACGTCTCTCGATAACACTGGAAACACCGGCAGGGAACGGGGAACGACTAGCGTGAGTTTAGGAAGCAGCGGTGGTGATGACACGTCAGCGGGGGACACGTCAGTTGCCGAGGAGACAGCGCCAGATGCGGAGAGGGAGCTTTCAGCCGCCACTGCCGCAGTGGCAGGCAAAGGCGCTTCGGACGCAGCAGCTGCAGCAGGCGAAGAGGCGAAACACGCAGCAGGAAACGCGCCGAGTAGCACCGAGAAAGCAGCAGCGAGTGCTAGTAGCAGTACTGGTCCTGCTACTAACGAGGATAAAGGCATCCACGTGTTCGTATCGACGGACGAGACGGACCTCCGTCCGATCGCGGTGGTGATCAACTCGACGCTCGTGAACGCGCGCGAGCCGTGGCGCGTGGACTTTCATCTAGTGGTCCCGGAGAAAAACGTCGCCGCGATGCGGAAGAAGCTGCTGCCGCTCTTCCCCTCCACGCGCATCGAGATCGTAAGGTGGGCCTCTCTCGCTTTTTTACTCATCGCCGCATTCGGCTCTCCCACCAGTCGAGCTCGTCTCCATCTTCAACTCTCTCCCCCCTGTCGTCTCCCCTTCCCCTCCTGCCCCTTCCCCTCCCCTCTCCTGTTTCTTCCCCTCCTGTCCCTTCCCCTCCTGTCCCTTCCCCTCCTGTGTCTTCCCCTCCCCGCAGCATCAGCCCCTCGCTCGCCAACGGCACTGCGGCTGCCACTGCTGCTGCACCTGCTGCTGCCACTGGGGCAGCGGGGGTGGAGGGCGGCGCGATGCGGATGGGGTGGTGGGAGAAGCTCGGCGCGCTTATCACGTACAAGGAGGGCAGCGGCGCTCGCAAGGAGCTCGTTTCCATCTTCAACTTCCTGCCGTTCTACCTCCCCCAGATGGCGCCGCAATTCCGAAGAATTGTGTATCTAGACGCGGATATTGTCGTGGTGGTGAGTGTGGGGTGGGGGAAGGGCAATGGGGAAGGAAGCGCGCGCAAGGAGCTGGTGGGAGGCTGGTGGGGTGTTGGGGGGGAGGGGTGAAGGGAAGGTGTAAGGGCAGGGGGGAGGGCGCGTGGGGAAAGGCAGGGGGGAATGAGCGCGCGCAAGGAGCTGGTGCCCATCTTCAGCTTGCTGCAGGTGTGTGGGGAGCGGGCGGGTGACAGGGGGGATGAAGGGGTGAAAAAGGGCGCGCGCAAGGAGCTCGTCTCCATCTTCAACTTCCTGCCGTTCTACCTCCCCCAGATGGCGCCGCAATTCCGAAAGATTGTGTACTTGGACGCGGATATTGTTGTGGTGGTGAGTGTGGGAGGGCGGAGGGGGTTGGGGGGAGAGGGGGAGGGTGAGGGGCGAGGATATAAGCAAGAGTATTTGGATTGTGGGTCGGATCGTGTTTCTGAACGCGGAATATTGTTGTGGTGGTGAGTGGGCGGTGGGGAGAGGGGGAAGGATGTGAACATGCCAAGAAATCTGGGCCGAGACTGTATGCGGGTGTGTCAGGGGGGAAAAGGGGGGGGAGGAGAGGGGGGAGATGGTGGAGGCGCAGATGAGGCCACGCAAGGAGCCGGTCTCCATCTTCAACTTCCTGCCCTTCTACCTCCCCCAGATGGCGCCGCAATACCGCCAGGGAGTGAAGGGGGAAGTGGGTATGAGCGTGTGTGAGTGAGGGAGGGTTGAGGCTGCATGAAAAGAGGGGCACTTGTGTGGGCGGGAAAAGAAGGTGGAAGGACCAATGCACTTCCAGTTTCCAGAAGTGAATCTTGCCTCTTGTTTCTTGTGCTTTTCTCAAGTTTTTCTCACGTGACCTTCCCGTCTTCGTAACACTGTGTTTTGTAGGGGATCTTTGGGTCGACTCAGAAAATGTGTTTTCTCCTTGTTTTTTTCCGTTTGAATTTCATTCCCACCAGGGTGACATTAAAGAGCTGGCTGACGTGGACATGGAGGGGACTCTTGGGTCAACTCAGAAAATGGGTTTTCTCTTCTTTTTCTGTTTCAATTTCATTCCCACCAGGGTGACATTGGAGAGCTGGCTGACGTGGACATGGAGGGGCGGCCAGTGGCAGCAGTGCAGGACTGCATGCAGACCTTCAAGACCTACTTTGACTTTGACCAGCTGGTGACCATTCAGGTGAACACTCAGTGAACATTCAGGTGAATGCTCAGGTGGGTGGCAGCAATGGAGGACTGCATGCAGACCTCCAAGACTTACTTTTACTTTGACCAGCTGGCGGCGATTCAGGTGAATATTCGGGTGAATGTTCAGGTTAGTAAAGTAGTCATAAGTGGAGGACTGCATGCAACAGTGGAGGACTGCATGCAATCATAAGTAGTCCCACACGGGCCTTCCACTCATGTGCCACACATGTGATTTTCCTCATGGCCAATCACGGCCACTCATGGCCACTCATGGCCACACACTGCTTGCTGATCATTTTCGTGAGGAAGGACCCTTCAAAGCCATGAATGCCCTTGTGGCCTTTTGAGAAGACCTCTGCGTCTTCAACCGTGGAGTCTCGCTCATGGGCGTTGAGTGCTTGTTACAGGCTATTATCCTCCCAAACACCGTCAGCCATGAGGACTGGATGAGCCTAGCAGATTAGTACTACTGTCTTTCTTTTGCTAAAAGTGACTTCCCGACTGCAGCTCATCCAGTCCACATGGCTGACCGTGGAGTCTCGCTCATGGGCGTTGAGTGTTGGTTTCACGCTGTTATCCTCCCTTTCACCTGTGCCACTCTTCCCCAGGCAACGACTGACTCGACCAAGCCATGGGTTCCCTCTGGGCCTTTTGACAAAACTACATGCGCTTTCAGCCGTGGAGTCTTGCGCATGGGCATACAGTGCGCTGGTTACAAAGTAACATCCTCGCTGTCACCTGTGCCCCACTTTCCCCCGTCCAACAGGCTCGGAACGACCCTTCTAAGCCTTGGATGCCCTCGGGGCCTTTTGATAAGACCACATGTGTCTTCAACCGTGGAGTCTTGCTCATGGATGTGCAACGCTGGTTACAAAGTAACATCTCAGGTGCGATCGAGTGGTGGATGGCTGAATTCAGTCGCGCACCCAATCCCCTTTATAAGTTCGGCATGTCGCAGCCGCCGTTCCTGTTGACGATTTACGACCGGTATAAGAAGCTGGACCGGATCTGGAACACCCGAGGCTTGGGACGGGACAGGTTCGGCGAGAAGGAACGGGACTACCTAGCCACGATTGGACTCGGGCGGCCACCGAAGCGGCCGTTTGTCAGTTTCTGGGCAGATTCGGCCAAGATTTTACATTTTAACGGGAAATTCAAGCCGTGGAGAGGGAAGAGGGAGAGGAGGGAAGGGGAGGAGGTGAAGTCGGTGTGTGGGGAGAAGAGGTTCGACTGTGCGAAGCTGTGGTGGCAGTACTTGTCTCCCGAAGCTGAGGCTGAGCTTCGGAGGAAAGGCAAGGGGAAGAAAGTGAGTGCTGCAACAAGTGCTGCTGTGCAGAAAGCGTAGAGATGGCACATAAACTGCCGAAGTAGGTGTAATGGTGAAGGTTCCTACGGCTTCTATCTATAAATCTTACAGAGGGTTGGGGTGGGGGTCCTTGGACTGGTAACTCGGTCTGTGCAAGCCTTTGGTGCTGAGGTGTGCCAACTGCTGTGAAAAGTGCGTGGTTACTTCTGCCTGCACGGCTTTCTGTGGCTGATGCTGAGCATGTGAATGCTGGGTAGGTCCTTTTTTTTGTTTGGTTATGCAAACTACAATGAAGTACCATTCTGTGCGTTTTACCGGTATGTGTATCGTTTTTGGCCGGGGTTTCCAGATTGCTGATTTGGCACGTAAAGACTTGCTGTGGAGGTTGATTCTGGATCAATTTGACTTTGTAGGAAGTGTTTTGCTATATACATACCGTCGAGCAAAGGCGCAAGCCTGACCTTATGCCCTAGAACAAAAACGCCTTTTACACTAACATCTGTTTTCTTGGAAAAACACGGCAATGGTACCGAATCCTCAGCAAGCTTAACAAAAACGTCTATTGCCTCTTTGAGGCCACAAAAAAAATATATATATATATTAAAAAAAGGCAAGAAGGTTTTACAAGCATATTTCCAGCCGATCTAGGCACAACCAACCAAGCTACACCAGGAGAGTGACTGATGTATGTACATTCAAGTGTTGCCTTTCCAGGCAGTACGGTACCACCATTCAGCCATCCCCTTCCCCAGCAATTATTTTATCAGGCATCCCTAGCGTTCTCTCTCAACCAACGGTCATCCACTTCCATTATTATCTTCATGTCCATATGCTCCAGCTCCTCTGCTGACATGGCAGTCACAGCAGCGTCCACCTCAGCATCAAAATTTGCCTCATCAGCTGCATGTGCTTCTGCGTCAGCTGTGGGCAAAGCAGCAGGGGAAGCAACAGCAGCAATGGGAATTGCTGGGTGTAGCCTGTCTATGAGGCCTTGAAGTAGGTAGTGTAGCTCGCGGTCGGTGCGTGAAGCATAGGAGGACGACTGTTTCATTCTATCCAAGTTAGTATGGCGTACGTGGTGTAGCGGATTATTTCCAGCAAGCCTTGGGGGAGCTGATCTCCACCGTCGATTTTCCCTCGAGACCTGACCTTGTGGGGGTGGAAACACGCGTTTCACTTCAGCGCGTCTCCCTGTTTCGCGTTTCACACCATCGTCAGTATCAGCACCATTATGATGGGTCGTATCCCTTCCGCTATCCTCGTTATTCGCGATCCGCAATTCGCTACAAGCAGTGTCAGACAGACACCCGTCTTGCAGATCGTTGCTGCTACAGACACTGTCCCTCCGCCGTTTCTGGCTCGAAACCGCCAAATTTTCCTGATTTGAATGGAATCTGCCGCCGTCGATAAAATCTTCGCCGTCCGAAGGCTTCTCCGCGTTGCCCCACGCCCTGTCCAGCTCCTCGCAGACGTCCAGATCTTCATCGGACGGCTCCCACCGCGTGCTGGTCGCACCGCGGTGACAGCACGGTCGCTCAGCTTCGTGAGGCGGCGTCGCCGGCACTGCGTCGACTCTTGGTAGAGAGAGTAAGTTTGCGTTTGCCAAACGACACGCAGTCTGCGCGGCGAAGCTTGCGATTGGAACCTCCTGATTAGTTGCGAGCTTTGCCGCGTCGCCTGCGCCGGCAATTTCAAGGCGTGGAACACTTGAAAGGCCCGGCAGATGCGCAGGAAACCGCGAATTGATCCGTCCTGGTGCGGCATCGACGCCGAGCCCACTCGATGTACTCGCAGCCGCTGCTGCAGCGACTCGGAGGCCTTCCGGGAATTGCGGCGATGGGTAAGACGCGGCGCCGGCATCATGACGTCGGGCTCCATTTTGGTACGCGTTGCTTCCGGCGCCGTGAGCGTCGTAATTGCCATTCAGGAAAGGCGGGTCCATTGTAACAGTTCAGGGCGCGCGTATCTCCTAGGAGGGTCTTGGTCGACAGAGCTGAGCTGGTGAGAACACACGCGAGCTCCAAGAAACAGGTGAACGATTTGGTTTCATAGGAGTCGCCTATAAGATCGTGAAATCGCTTGTGTGTGCTGTACACTTGCGAGCGCGATATCTCACCGCCGAAGTCTATTTTCGTTCCGTTGCCAATGCAGAAGTGAATGGAGCAAGGGGTATGCATGTGAGAACAAAAAAATGGTCCTCAGGTTCGAATAGGATAACGGTTCACCGGGATTGCGGAAGGTAACTAACGTTTGTCTACGGTGAAATGTGGTTCGTTCCTACACAAAATGTGATTTCGGAAATCGCACCACCAGCTGTGCTGTCGGACTGCATGCGGGTTGCGTATTTTGCCAGGCACACTTTCCTGAAATGGCCAGGGTGGTGGGTTAGTTGTCGTGTCGACCTCCGTCAATGGTTTCATCGATATCCGCCGCATTAGCCGTGAGTTTCACGAATACCGATCTATTCTTTAGCCTTTTACTAAAGCCCGCACGTGTACCAGAAGTTCGTTAAATTCCGCTTTGCTATGGCTGTACCCTGAAATAAAGTGATGAAACGAAAAGCGAACCAGATGTCGCATTTCCTCACTGGGCAAACTAGCGTACACCTCAAGGAGGAGTGGACAAGAATGTCAATGACGCTGCGGCTATCCAGCATACCCGCGGGAAAGCGACTGATTGGCTAGCTGTAGGACCATCGAAATAGCGACGCGACTACTGCTCCATCTCGACACCGCACTTCCATATCACTGGGAGCTCAAAGGGCTTCATGAGGTGGTGTTGTCGTACTCGGGCAAAAAAACTTCGGATATGTTGCGAAGATGTTGGACTCGTCACTGGAAGAACACCAAAACCACCAGTCTAAACGTGATTATGTTTACACTTAGCCAGTTTACATTTTGTTTCAGCGATCATGCAGTACCGCGCTGCTGACCGACGTTCGAGGAAGTTGGGCTCACATCCGGCAGGCCTCAGGTGCTGGGACCGCCAATTCCATCTCTGTGCATTTCTCCAACAGACCTTTCATGAGCCTTGGTCTGCCCCGCATTGTCAACTGCACAACAGCTCGTCAACTTGAGGGCACTTTTTTTTTTGCAAGGTCAGCTCCGTCCAGAGCGTTGTTCATATTACAAACACCGAATTGGATGGAGTGCAAGAAAATAGTTACTAAAGAAATGTATTTGTGGGAGTAGTAACATAATTTTTCCTAGGATCAGTAAACCACGATTAAAGGAGGGGCAGATTCTTTGTTCCCATGTTTTGGGTGATGTGATGATGATTTTTTCTCACGTGCACATGTGTTTTGTGGAAACGAGTGGCCGAAAGACTTCTGCACCTGCTCCCAACGACTGCTGGTCTTCAAATGTGTGGTGTGGTGTGGAGTGGACATGTTTGGCAGCATGCAGGAGCAGCTTCACAAACGCTCGTCCGTTTGTGGACGTTGCCCCCAATTGTCGTCGTTGCCGTGATCTGCATTCAGCCTGCCACTGGAGCAGGGTCAGGGCGGGGCCAGTTTTTTACACAGTGGTACAGTTCATTCTGAGCGGTTACTCTCACTTCGTCACGGTCTAAAACGGTTGATCAAAAATACCGCTGTAAACCGGTTGGAACGTTTCTTCACCACGACAGATGAACTGTAAAATCGTGAAAAACGAACACGCTACCCTCAGTATACAGGAAAATGCATGTTGGTATTTACATCTTCAATGGTAATTAGTTGTCGTAAACCTACACAATGCATAGCAAATAGCTTGACAAACCCAGTATCGTGAACAATACTGTTAAATTTGTTCTTCGATGACTATGTCCTGTTACTTCCTGCTCGACTTCTACTGTACGTTTTACCTCCCAAAGCTTTGCTCCCTCGCTAAGGACGTGTGTGAAACTAATTTTGGCACCAAGTGTAGGTTTTTTATTCGAATGTAGCAATTGAACGCTAAGCGAACTTTACTCGATTTTGAGTCATTGCAAAGTTCGAACCGCAGCTGTCGAAAGTTGTAAACACACAATCACACGCGCAGGTGCGAATCTACAAGTTCGAGCCTGTAGGGGGAGAACCGAACCGCGACTAGGGTGGGTAGGTTACCCAGTATCGGCATCTTGACAGCGCGACACGCCAACGAATCGCGTGCCTCAAAAGTTCAATCTAGAGTTACACCGCATCTCCCTACCTGTCCCCGAGCAGACCACCATCTACAAATGTGCGAGTGTCATGCATTTCGCCAACTCAGCATTCCACCATGTCTCTCATTCCCCTGCAGCCCGTCGTCCCGTCGCCCGTCCCCCCCTTACGCGCGCCGCCGCTGCGCCTTCCCCCGTCGCCCGCCGTCGCGCCCGCTCCTGCGCCCGTCGCCGCGGCGCCCGACGTCGCGCCCGCAGCCTGCGCCCGTCGCCGCGGCGCCCGCCTTCGCTGCTCGTCGCGTCGGCCCCCGCGCGGCTGCCCCTTAACGCCCGCCCCCGCGCCCGCGCGGCTGCCCTTAGCCCCCGTGCGGCTGCCCCTTAACGCCCCCCCCCGTTTAGCTGCGCCTCTACCTCGTTTAGGGTTTCTCGTTTCGCCCTTTCCCGCCCGAGTTTCGCCACGCCACCTCGTTTAGGGTTTCCTGCCACTGCTTTTCCGTTAGTTTTCACTATGGCGACTCCACGTGTACTTCGTTTCGACGCTGACGGTAGACCTCTTGACTTTTCACTCTGGCTTATGCGCGCTCGCCGTCAGTTAGAGAGTCAGGTCCAGTCAGGCGAGACCCTCTGGGCGCACGCTACTGGTGCCCTCCCTGCGCCCCCCGAACCTACGCCTTTAGGTCCTGCCCCTGACGACGCCGCTAGAGCTCGCTTCGCTAGCCAGCGCGCTGACCTGACAGCTTGGACGTCGCGTGACGCTGCGGCCTGCATCGCGCTCAGCACCCTCCTCCCTGAGTCTGAGGAGGCTCACTTTGCTCAGGTTCGCACTGCTGCTGAGTACCTGACTGCGATTAAGGCCCGCTACTCCACTCCTGCTGCTGTCTCTCTTGGCCGCCTTTTCCTCCCGTTCCTGTTCCCTGACC